AAAAAAAAAAATTCTGAAAATACATTCACAACAAAAGGAGGGCTAAAAAGAATCACCATCCTTTATTGGATGAAGGGGGAAACAGAGTCACAAAGGCTGAAGAAAAGGCTGAGCTAATTAGTGTCTTCTTTGCATCAGTCTTTAATAGTAAGACCAGTTGTTCTTTGGATACACAGCCCCCTGATCTGTAAAACAGGGATGGGGAGCAGAATTAAGTCCCCATAATCCATGGGGAAACGGTTAGCGACCTGCTACACCACTTAAACATATACAAGTCTATATGGCCTGATGCAATCCACCCAAGGTTACTGAAGGAGCTGGCAGAAATGCTCATCAAACCACTTTCCATCATTTATCAGTCCTGGCAAACTGGAAGGAGGATCCAGGGGACTACAGGCCTGCTACCCTGACCTCATTGCCAGGGAAGGTTATGGAGCAGATCATTCTGAGTGTCATCATGAAGCACATACAGGACAACCAGGCAACCAGGTCCAGTCAGCATGGGTTTGTGAAAGGCAGATCCTGCTTGACTGACCTGATCATCTTCTATGACAAGGTGACCCACTTAGTGGATGAGGGTAAGGAAGCAGATGTTGTCTACCTGGACTTTAGTAAAGCCTTTGACACCATCTCTCAAAGCATTCACCTGGAGAAACTGGTTGCTCATGGCTTATATGGGTGTACTCTTCACTGGATAAAAAAGCTGGCTGGCTGGCTGGTCCCAAAGGGTTGTGGTGCATGGAGTTAAATCCAGTTGGTGGCCAGTCACAAGTGGTGTCCCCCAGGGCTCAGTATTGAGGCCAGTTCTGTTTAATATCTTTATCAATGATCTGGATTAGGGGATTGAGTGCACGCTCAGTAAATTTGCAGATATGACCAAATTAGGTGGGAGTGTTGATCTGCTTGAGGGTCCCCTCTCACAGGAGACAGTGCTCCACAAACTTTCTCCAACATAAGTCCTTCCCATGGGCTGCAGCGTTTCCCTCACTGCTCTGGCATGGGACACCAATTCTCTCCAACTGGATTCCCTCCCACGGCTGCAGCCCTTCCTGAGCTACTCCGGCGTGGGACACCCCCGCATGCTGCAATCCTTCCAGCGCTGAGTTACAGCAGCTGGGGCTGCTTCTTCCCACTGGCTTTGGGTGCAACCTCCTTAATTGGTCATATGAGGCCCCTCACAAGCCATAAATCAATGTCTGCTCCACCGTAGATCTCCATGAGTGGCAGGGGGCCCGCCCTGCCGTCTCACCACAGGATACAGGGGGGTCTCTGCTCCGGCACACCTCCCCCCTCCTTTATTCCTCCGTTCCTCCACTGACCTTGGTGTTCATGCAGCTGCAGCAACTCCTCCTCACAAGTCCCACTGCCCGTCACCACGTCCCTTCTTAAATACGTTATCGCAGAGGCTCAGCTGATTGGCTCAGTTTGGTGCAGAGATGGGTCTGACTTGGAGCTGGGGGAGCTTCGAGAAGCTTCTCACAGGGGGCCACCGCTGTAGCCCCCTCCCCTGCTACCAAAAAACTCCACCATTCACTGAAACAGGACACTTAATGGTCCCTCTGGAATTTTATCCATCTGCAGACTATAGTTCACACTGTGAAGCTCTACACTGAACTATTTCTGGCCTGAAATACACTTCTAAAAGCATCTCAGTACCTAACACTTTTCTTCAACATTTTTTGAGTTTCTGAAAAATAGGTTAATATAAAGCACTACAGCAAATCATGGCTTGCTCCATTTTTCATAGGGTTCAAGCTGTTAAGGCTGTTCTCAAAGTTCTTGCATATTTTAGCACCTGTGTCTCCTTCACCTTCACAAAAAGAACAGGTCAGCAGGAGATTCAGCAGGGAAGTCTAGCAAAATGGGAAAATTAAATGGGGCAATAATCCTACCAAACATCAAGGTTGGTGTTTGTACCAGAATACATAAAGAGTCTTGAAGTGGTTTTGTTTTGTTTTGTTTTGTTTTGTTTTGTTTTTAAATTGAATATAATAATAAATGAACATAACAGACAAAAGTTTTCCTCTTACTCAGGCAGCTTCTTACACTTTGCTTTGTCAAAGAACTAGGAAATTGTACAATCTACCTATTGTCACTGTGTAGAGCTCCAAAATATCACAGAAACACCACAGGACTTTAATTCAGACCATAAAAAACATTAAGATCATTATTTTAACCTGTCAGCTTAAAGATGATTATTTTAACCTATATTATTTTAACCCTTCTTGCAAATTTCAACCAAGCTTAGAGGTATGAAAGTGTGCAAAAACAGCCTCAACCTCTTTTCTGCCTTCACTATAGCTCAGCTCTGATTACAGCATTTTGCTAGAACGTCCCATCACCCTGCTTAATCATCCAGACATACAGACAATTGCTTTCTAGAGATTTGACACCAGCACACCATCTCCTTCCATGTCTTTGTTTTGACTATGAAAACATATACTATTTCACTCTTCCTACCCTTGTAGCACTACCCCTCTGAGGTTTTCCATTTATTTCTCCAGCCTTTCCCGATATATTCTGGTGAATTCTTTCTGCTCTCCCACACTTCACAGGAATAAAAGCACTGTGCAAAGCTCTCCTTCTCTGTTCTCCCCCTCTTTTCACTCCAGGCTAATTCTTTGATAGATAAGATCAAGCATATGCAAGTTTAGACAACTGTCTCCTAAAAATGGATGGAATGTGGTCAGTTAATATGTCTTCCCTTTAGTTTTCAGTGCAATTCAGCTGATTCTGGATTTTTTCCCAGACTGACAACCTTCTTTCCTCAGTTCTTCTCCCATGGCCTTGATAGTTCCTCTGCAGGTTTGCCCTGGTAGTCTCTACCACCAAACTACTAACGCTAAGAGTAAATTGACAATGTAAAACCGACTGGGTACTGAAACATTAGGGTAATGTTCCCTCCTTCAAGCCATCCCACAAAAATGTACAAGATTAGGTTTAGCACTTAGACCACTGCAGCAACAGCACTGAATCTTAACTACTGCCCTCCAGAAGCAGCCAAATGCAGTTCAGGGGCAACTTCTGAGAGAGTAGTGTCATTAGCAATGATCTTTGCATTATAGAGGAGGAAAGAAAAGTGGTTGAATGAAGATTGATGGAAATCATCACTGTGATGCAAGGGGAAAAGGATAATGAATTGCCTGATAATGATTTTTGAGACATGAGATTTTATTTTTTTTTTAATGAATCTGTGATGATGCTTTGTAGGTCAGTTATCAGCATCTCATAACAGCCTGCACTCAGCTAAGCTGTACCCACAGTTAACAGTCAGAAGAAAACACCTACAAAAGCAGCTCACCTAAAGATTTTTATGCTTAGGTATCAAATATTTAACAATGAAACCTAGCTTTTATAAGATCAGAAGCAAGTACTTATAGACAACTAGGGATCCCCCTTACTCCTTCCAAAAAAGGAAGATTTCTATAGACCTGAAGATACAGCTCGGTCTTCCTCAAGTGCTTTTCTGATGGAGTAAAGAGCAAAGAGGAAAAAAAAAAAAAAAACACTAGCAAAATCACTGGGGCAAAAAAACTCATGATCTATCTGAAGGTCCTCAAGGACTTAGGAAGTTGGAATTAACCTTTGACTAAAAAATGTGGTGTAAGACAGAGCAAAACAAAACAAAACAAAAACAATAGTCCAAATATTATTGTGTTCTTCTAAGGATCCATCTATCAGACAGATTTTTGATACTCTTACAGTGTTCAGTGTAATCACTCATCACAGAAACTGATGTCCCAGTTAACAGATCAAAAGACTGAAAACCACCCATGCAAATACTCAGTCCCCAGAAAGAATTATCAGTAAAATTGTATTTGCCAAATGGTCAGACAACATGCAAAGAAATGTGTACTCCTGTCATGGCTTGAGCCTGGTCGGCAGCCAATCACCCCGCAGCCGCTCACCCACCCTGCCCCCCCACCTGAGAATGGGGAAGGGAATTGGAGGGGTAAAGGGAGACTCACAGGTTGAGATAGAAACAGTTTAATAAGGGTAATTAAATTAAACCAATGACAGTAATAGAAAATACAAACGGGCAATGCACAACACAATTTCTCACCACCCGCTGACCGCTCCCCAGCCCGTTCCCGGCCAGCGACCCCGAGATACCAAGATCCCGCAATCGCAATCCCGGGAGCGAGCGAGAGAGAGCCCCTTCCCGACCACCCCTCCTCTCTACAGTGAGCGTGGCGGTCCATGGTATGGAATATTGCATTGCCCAAGTTGGGTCTGGTGCTCGGGCCGTGCTCCCTCCCTGCTCCCTGTGCCCTGGCGCACGGGCAGAACAGGGAGAGTTGGGGAGTCCTTGGAGTCTCAGTACCAGTTGGAAACAGCCGTGTGCTACCAGCGTTCTTCTCACACCAAACCCGAAGCCGAATCCAAACCACAGCACTCTTCCAGTTCCCCAAGAGGAGTGTTAACTCTCTTCCAGCCCAAACCAGGACAACTGCTGTTGGTTGCCAAGCTTTACACTGTCTTTAAAGTTATTAGTATTGTAATAAATCTACATTTTTCCTACAACAGCTTAACATTTTTGTTACATTTCTGCAGTGTAGCTCCACTATAAAATTACTCTTCCTCAAATAATTTTTTCTTTTTTTCTGCTTGTATTGTCATTGGAGATAATTTTTTCCTGTTGCTTTTTAGCACATATTCCTCTAAGTCTAACATGAACTGACTTTAGCCAGACCACCCTCCCAAACATACAGAATGCCAAAATTTTATTATGTTCGATAATTTCTGTTTCAGATTCTTTGTTATCATTGAGAGTTCGAAACAAGTTACACTGAAAGGGTTAGAAACAACAGTTATGTTATCCACTAACAATTCTCTGCTTCATTTATATTACAGGTAATATTTCCCTTCCTACTATCACAAGCATTCATTTGGTTCATAAAATTTTACATTAGGTTAGTACTCACCTAAAGACTTTTTTTTTTTTTAACTGCATCCTGTGTTTACCAAATTAAAATATACTTTGAAACCCACTTAGTCTATTTCAGACCAGAGTCTTGTGTTCTGGCTGGCTTTTTAATTTCTTCAGAAGCAAATTATACAGCCTTACAGCACCTAGATTTACTGACACCAATCAGCTGATACTTGTGCAGATATTGTAGATTTTGGAAGTTGTTTAAAAATAAACTTTCTCCTTTCCTCTGTTCTTCCCAGCAGAAAACCAAACCAAACCAAAACAAAAAACCCACACATCCAGGAGAGCAATTTTAGAAAATTCTAAAAGCTTGTCTGTTACTTATTTTGCAATATTGTCTAGTAGTCCTAGTCTGCAATTAACAATTCCCACTACAGTAAATATATTCAGCAAGAGAGATCACCACTCAAGAGAACTGAGTATAAGTCAGAACCCAATGGATGGACAAAGAGAAGGCAGAGGAAAACAGAAGGTCAGTTAGGTACTATGTGCAGCTGTAAATACAAAAAATAAAACAGCAGGACAGGAGTAGTTACAAGTTTATACCTGAAATGTAGAAAGAAAACACTGAAATAAAGCATGGATTTCATACCGATCCTTTTTTGGTATATTGTTTTAAAAAATGCCAGCAGTGTGACTATATTTAAGATCTGCCTCCATATCCAAGTTTACACATTTGTACTTGATTCCAGATCTACTTTGGTTAAATGGAAGTTTTGTGTTACTATGCCATGTCATTTCTACCTTCACTCTTCTAATCCTCTGAAAGACAACTAAAGCCAAGATGGAAACTATTTTTGATGCTTTTTTTTTTTTTTTAATCTTTTACTTTATTACAAGAACAGCAAGAATTCACTTTGAAAGGTCCGTATTGTTCATAATTTCACTTTAGCAGTCTGAAGAACCATTTCATCTTTCATTTTAATAACTAGTTTAATGGAAGACATTATAAACAGCAAAAATAAGACAAGATCAAAAGCTTTAATTTGGCTGAGATTTTGCTTAATTTACAGGTAAAAACAGGAACTCCTCACGGATACAAAAGTTTATGATAAAGAATGTTACAAACCAAACTCACAAAACAGTGAGCTCTTGAATGAGGATATGCTATGAGAGCTGCAATTCTGTATATTAAGCAAATAATATTACATGTAAGCACCTTCATGAGCAAATGATCAAACAGATAAAGTACTAACACGTTTTTTATGTTTGAACTTGGCTAGATAGCAATCTATTAGTGTAGCTATACACTTACTGCACAGGATGACATTAGAAACATGCACAAAATATTAGTAACTCCTGAAACAATTCAATTTTCTGAAACAAAGTAACAAACCTAAGCATCTATTTCACAGAAGTCCAAGCTTCCTGCTTTAAAGATGTCTTTAAATGATCCCTGGTCTAAAGCTGTATTTTTTAAATGTCAACTTTCTCCTACACAGCAAAGACTCCACAACAATAGGTGCTTATACTACCCTTTTTATTTTTCAGCCAGAAATACAGTTTCATAGGGTATTGCAATAAGCAGTGGTGTTTATTCCTTAAACAAAACCCCCATCTCTTTGGCATCTGACCTTAATCTGTTTTTCAAACTACAGACTATATAGGAAGATTTTACTTTCAGGATCATTGCTCAATGCATTAGATTTATATAGGTGTAGTTAACTTCTAAAAATACATCTCAGTTTGTTGCAAACATTCTAATAAACCTAAAAAAAAGATAACCAAACCACCAAAATGCAGACTACTGCGTTGCCTTCATTTACAACTGTGGAGTAAAAGCCAGCATGAAAAGAACCCTTATTTTCCACAGTACACGCACTAACTAGTGCTTTCCATTAATTCTGTATGATAAACAAACAAACAAACAAACAAAATCTTAATTCTACCAGCAACAACTGATAAAATAATTTATATTTCAAAACAACGTGATCTTATTTTTAACTTCTTCTGCAGAGGTCATCAGCCAAACCCAAGTTGCACGCTGCTTCAGTAAAAGATAGCACCTAAAAAAAAAGGTCTCAAAATTATTTTTAATTTTTAAACATAAGTTACTAAAATGTTTTAAATCCATCTAGGAATACAGCTGTCAAAACTACATTTGGTGTCATGTTCAGATAAAAAATTCTTAAGTAACAGAAGTAAACTAGTGTATTCAATCTACTCTGTTGAATAATCCAGGATTATCTCTTCAATGCCGATACAGAAATACTCCACCTGCACTCCATCAGAAAAAAAATGGCCTTCCAGATCTGAAGTGTTCCGTGCTTCAAATCAACTGAATTTCCAAAGCAACGCTGAAGTTATTTGACCCCTTCTGCTAGTATAGATGATACAGAAATAATTAATTAAAAGAAAAAACATTATTGACATACCAATGCAGACATTCCAGTGTATTTACTGGAATCTTCTGTGAATCCTTCTTTGTGTGTCAAAACAATGTAAAAAATAAATCCCACTAACAAAAAAAAAATATCTTTACTCCCCAAAAGATTTGGTTTTAGTAACCCAACTGCTTATCCTGAACAAGTTTTATGGAACAGAGGAGGCAAAGTAATTAATTCCATGTCAAATCTAAATCCTGTTAAATTATTTTTTAAGTAGCAAAGGTTTGTTTTATGAACGACTCCCACCCTCATCACCAGGGCAAGTGCAGTTTGAAAATGTTTGAACTGGATTATTTAAATAGTGAGTGATCCAATTTATTTAAGCTCACTTTCCTCTCCATGATGTACAAAAAAAAAAAAAAACAAAAACAAAACACTAAATCATACATTTTACTGTAGAATATAGTAACAAAAACTAAAACCAAAAAACCTGCTATACTTGAGTGCCTATCCAAGAGCAGTTTCTAACATCAAGACAAAATTAGCAACAACTAAGCAGACATCACCAATTTTTCTGTGTTAAATTACTGTAAATACTAACTCTAACTGTACAAAAAAAAAAAAAAATCACAAACCCAAAAATCAAAAGCTTTTTTTGATAAAAGAAATATTAATCAATTGCAGTCAAATTTGCATCAGAAGCTGCTTGCTCAGGAAAGATTTCTCCCTCCAAGTATTTGTAACGTATTGCCAAGTTTCTATTTAAATAAATTACTTTCTGATAATATTTAGTCATTACAGCCATCTACAATGTGGACAGTCATGTATACAGTACAACAGTAGATTTTTGCAGCAACAGAGAAATATTCAGGAATTGATTCTAAATTCAAGATGATAGCTCATGTGTTATTTCTTGCAAACATACGGTCCCCTCTAAGGGTAAGGTGTTGGAGCTGGTATTGTAGCACTTCTGTGTCAGCAGGTTCCTTAATGCTCATTTTGTCTAAATTGAGGTAGTCCAGTGATTTTGAATGAGCCCTTTTACCTTTTAAAAGGCAAAGAGGCAGGGGACCATGAAGTGCCTTGTAAGGTTCATATGGTAAAACCTTAGTGCATTTATCCCCTGAGCTGGGCATCCGTCTCCTTCTCCTTCCATTTACCGCTGGGATCTCATATGGCTGATAGTACCTACTTCTAGTTTTGTACAAACGGGAGGAACGTGCAAGTCCTGAATCAAGCTGTTTGGAGCACAAGTTCGACCCAGATTCCCCTTTATTCTCTTCACTTTCTGTACACTTCTGGGCTAGTTTCAGCAGCTCCTCTCCAGTAGTGAAGCCGACCAGGTAGTTAGAATCCATGTGAAGGATCTGATATCCCGCAACCATCCGTCGCATTGGTGAGCAGGGGGTACTGGAACAGCGGGGTTTCTCTGCTTCCATCCTGCCCACAGGACTCACCTCTGCAAGAGGCACAGCGCGGGTGGATAGGGTAGTTCTGGACTCTCCATTTATGTCAACTTCCATTTTAAACACAACGCTATCCTCCTAAAAATAGAACAGAGCTTGATGAGAAATAGTCTTTATGCAACATGAGGAGTTGAGAGAGGATCACAGAAATGAGATTTTCTACCACCCAGAAGTCATGACCAGTACTTCTCTATTCAGCCTTGTCTTATGCTCTGCATAAGAAAATTATCACTGACATCTGCCTTTAAAAAATATCTTGGGTGTTTTTAATAAAAGATACCATAAATATACTCCTGATATTCTTAAATGTTAAAAAAATTCTCAAGTAACATTGCACACAAAAAAGAAGCATATTTCCAGTCCATTTTTTCATTCCTTTAGTCCATTTGATTCCTTCTAACCCCTTGCCTCTGAGGCCATCTACATCCATTAGCACATCCACAGCAACTTCTCCCACATTCAGCTGTATCTTTTTCCTATTTAAAATAATCTCAGTAAACAAAGCTTTTAAAAAAATGTGTCTAACAGCTACTACCTCAGACAGGCATGACCACAGACAAGACCTGATGGTACTGTAATGCTTCCCCCTTCTGTATGTGAAGACAGCTTGCTTTAAAATCAAAGAACATCATCCTGGATGTTCAACAGCTGTCTTTATAAGTCATCAGCAATCCTCCCTCCCCCCCTGCCCCCAACCTATTGTCTTGTTCGCAATCAACCAAACAAACTCATACTATTTTATGCTAATGTATTTCTAAGAAAGGAGACAGTATACTACTGCTTACTGAATACAGCATAAGATTCTTATAAGCACCTTAAAAATAACCAGTATTCTGAATTCTATGGTATTTATTTGTTTTCTATTTCTTTTCGAAACAGGCTGTTTTGCCCTGACCTTTCTTCCCTCTCAACTATTCCAAATACTTAATTTGGTGCCTTTGATTAAGTTGCCTGCCACAAGACATTAGCATCTCTAATGAGGAAAGATAACATCAATATCCCAGCAAGTATACGCCAGTGGGTGCCAGAACATGAAAGCTTAATTCTTTTAATTTATTTGTTTTCAGCATCATCTACACCATCTTGGTACTTCACAGAGTAGAAAGGGTACATTTATTTCCAAATCCATGCTTCCTTCATTGTCAGCCTCACCTCTGCTCTAAACAGTAGCTCATGGCTCTCTAGCCAATATAGTTCACAAAAAATTCAGCATAGCTTTGTAATGTTTAAAGGCAATGGGACTCACAGAAGAAAGGAAAGTTAGTATGCAAGTGCCAAGCAGAAACACAATTCTGAATTTCATTATAGGTGACTATAAACCACATTCAAAAGCTCAGTAATATTTCACAAATGAGACTGACTTAAAACGTGCTATTATCAGTTGGCAAACTTTTAAAGCTGCTACTTGCTGCCATTCTGAGGCTTGAGAAGTCACAGGCTGAGTAGCAAAGATGCCAACAAACAAGGGAATACTTTATTCAAACTTCTGCAATTAGATACCTTCAAAAATCCCGTAAGATCAATCTCTATTCATTTGTCTTAAAATAAGGGAGGAAGTTGTGTGCATAGCTCACTTGTAAAAGAAAATAATCTAGCCTTATGCAAAATTTAAGCTTACCTTGTTTCTGTTCAGGGATTGGGAAGGAGTAATTTTAAGTAATGTTGCTATCTCGGCTTCCCTGTTTAGTCTCAAATCAACCTGCTGCTCCCTATGCTAATAAATTAGGAGTAAACAAAATCCCCACAGTCTTTCTGAATAGGAATTGATTAGTCACTGACAAAGTTCTACTGTGGAGACACTATTACTAATGTTCCTTTAGTCTTAAATGTCCTTTTTAAGTTGTCACAATGGTGTGGTGATAACCTTCTTCATTACCAGTTTTGTGTAGCATTGCTTTTACAGATCCACTTCATCCAGTCACCTTTTAGAGCATTTTGAATTTTACAATACAGGTAATACATCAAAAGCTAAATAAAGATTTCAAATACTGAAGAAAACCTAACACCAAAATCTTTCACTAAAAAAAATCCACAAAAAACTCAAGATATTGCCCATTATATTTAATTGTCTTTAAAATATATTTATGGAGTCAATTAAAACTTTCAGAATAGCATAAGCGGTTGTTGTTTCCTACTTCAGCACCATATCTAGCAGTGAGACAATAAATATGGTTAGTTTTTAGCCACTGAGTTAAAGATATTCATGACAATTCCTTAGGTAGAAATTAGAGTTTCTGTACCATCAGGAACCATGGTTAGTGAAGGCATAACACAGAAAAATTCTGCATTGAAACTTTTGGCTACCCTGTGGTTTTAGCCAAGAAACCTAAATATTTACTGTTCCTGGTTTTTTAATTCCCAATTTTAACCCTTCCTCCAGGAGACCCCGGCCCATAACCACTGGACGGCAGCACACATGCGGCAGAAGGAGGAGACTTAGGATAATGAGTTCCTGGAAATAATTACAATAGCTATGCCTATTCTCAGAACTAATTGTAATAACACGGCCTATACTAATGAATAGGCATGCTTTTCTACCATAAAAGTGCTTGCTTTGTGATATGGTGTGCGAGCTAGGAGGAGTGATCCCTGTTGCACCCAGCGCTGCAATAAACATACCGGCTTTATAACTCTGTGAGTTGTAAGGTTTGTTTCCACGCTTCAATACAACAAGGTTAGAAATGAATCATGTTATCTAGTCACAAATAAACTAAGCAACAACAACAAAAAAACCCAAACCAAACAATCACTTTCCACAGCAATATAGGCCCTAAAGGAAAGGGAGGGAAGAAGAGATGTCTTCATGCACTTCTTCAGTTAAAGTACAAAGGAAAATCAGAGGAGAAAAGTCTTCAAGTCAGCAAGCTACAGCCTAGTAGTTCAGCCTGAAACAGAGCTTCCATGTCCATGCTCCAGTGTGAAGAACAGCTGAGCCCTAAAACCAGTAAATCCAACAGATACTTGAAAGCAACAGTAGCATCAGAAACTAGTGACATAAATATCAGAAGCTCAAGGGAACAGCACTGCTAGCTGGTGAGAGAAATGACTGGCCAGTTCTGCAGGCAGTGGTCCAAAACTCAGTATGTATGAGCTCAGCTGTTCTTTCCCAAGACTATTAATGTTACTAAAGCTGCCATATGGCTTCAACATGCTTTGTCTCCTTATCTGGTAAAAAAAAAGATAAACATTATTTGGAAAACTTCTATGAAATAAAATAATCTGAGGTTCACAGTATCTATGAGTGTAGATACCATTACATACAAATATATATTTACTGCTTGTAGACTGCATTTTCAGGCATTTCTGTGGTTATAAGACATTAGATGACTACTGTTATGTTCATTGCTGTGTAGCAGTGTAAGCTCATTAGTAATTCTCAACATAATACTGAAAAAACCCAGTAGTTTAAAAATACTATTTCTTTGCTTCTTAAAAGAGAACAACAATGGAGTGATGTCAATTCAACACAGTTTATAATTAAAGATTTACTACATAATCAAAATAAGAAGAGGAACAAGATGGCATATCCTTTTCTTTTCTGCTGCTTTACATATTTAGGAAGTATGGAAAATAACTGAAAATAGCAGATACCAAGAGGATTCACTTGACCAATACACACTGGAAGTGTTTTCAGAATACAACTCGCTTCATTAAGATTTTACAAGATTTTATTGATTCTCTTTATAATATAAAGCAAGTTCTGAATATAAATTAACCTGACCCAATCTGGTTAAATATTGAGAAAACTGTCTAAAACACAGAGAAGAGAAATAATAAATAGAAATACCATGCTAACTACAATAAATCATTGTATTACCTCAAAGAATACATTAATATGCTTGGCATAGTTCTTCAAGGGTAAAAATATTAGAACTTCCACATTTTGCGAATGTAAAGGTTTTCTGATTACAGAATCTCTCATGAGGGTGTCAGATACCACTCAAAGATTAGCACGGGACAAACAGAAAACAGACATGTATGACATGCTAATGTCTAACCACACCATGCTAATATACATGCTGTAAATCATTTGTTGTTGGAACGATATCTCACCATGTGCTCTTACTGTACCCAATGACATCTTTTGCTTGGTTTTGTTTGTTTTGGTTGTTTTTTTTTTTTCCGGAAAATGTGTTATATATCTGTTGAATGTATTATTTACCGTCCTTCAAGGAAAGAAATGCGACTCAAAAAATATCAACTTTAATTACTCAATATTTAAATAAGACAAAAAAAGATGAAGAGGGGTTTTCCTTGACACTCCTATGCTTTGTAGAAAGTGTGCGTTATTTATAAATCACCATAGTAAGTTGCTTTCAGCAACAGAACTGGTTCTCTGTAATTTCCACTGTTTCTTATCTTCTCAATTAGAATATTTGATTTCAGAAGAGGCCTTTTTTTTAGGATAAGCATTACATTTCTGTCCATCTAACTACTGGTTCTATTTTTAGTTTTTTAACAGATTTTTTTTTCCTAGATGCCAAGCCTGAAGGTAGTACCATTTGTTAAGAACCACAAAGATATGTCTTACTGATAAAATGCTCACAATTGCAGTAAGTAGATGGCAGAATGGAAATATGGCAATAGACTCAGTGATATGAATTCTGTAAGTGTCAAACATTGGATAGAGATATCAAGCCAGTTTTGACACCTCCATTTCTCTGTGCTGCCATTACTTAATATATACAATGCACTTAAAAGATATAATGTTTGTCTATCCAACATCAGGAGTGAGTAAAGTCACCTAGCACATGTGAAGCCAGCACACGTTTTTAATTATTTCAGCTGTCTCTGTTTGTGAAGGGAAAACAGTTTGTGCAGTGTGAAAAGAAATATGTGCTCTTGGAAATCCCATCTTCTTTGTCACTGAAATATGCTGATGGAATTTATGTACTTGTAGAGCAAAGTTTTCTAGAAATAATTATTTCCAATCTGCAACTAAAACAAGTGAAATAGTTAGTTAAAGAGAAAAAATCAAGCTAAAATTCAACTACGTAAGAGTATCCACAAAGATGCCATATTTTTTTCCTAGAGCTGGGGCAGCCAGGCCATAGACTGAGACATGTGCAGCTTGAAGG